ACACACACACACAGAGAGAGAGAGAGAGAGAGAGAGAGAGAGAGAGAGAGAGAGAGAGAGAGAGAGAGAGAGAGAGAGAGAGAGAGAGAGAAGCTAATTGCTACAAGTAGAATAAGCTATCCCTTTTCGAATCCTTTTTGTATAATTGCTGTTGTTGCCGCAAAAAAGGATGTCACAATTAAAGCCATGTGTGCGGGTGTAGCCGCACTGGCCACGTATATACAGTAGTACTGTATTTATAAAAGTATGGGACAGGCATTTGAGTGTACTATGTATCTCAGAAGTACCATCACCCTGTCGTATGCAACCATAAAAAAATACATCGTGGTGCCCCATGCCCTAAAAAGTATTTATCAAAGTATGGGACAGGCATTTGAGTGTACTACGGTTCTTAGAAGTACCATCGTGGTGTCCCATGCCCTAAAAACTCAGTTCGAAAACAGTCCGTCCTCATCGTGGCGACGAGACATGAGGAGAAGGCGTACACATCTTTGTTTTTTTGGTACTCCATCTTTTAGGGTAGAATTGCCGTTGACGGCTGGTTAACAGGAAACCTAGGGTAGTTTTTATCGCGAAGGGGGTTATAGGGACCCTACTACGTGTAGGAAGGTTAACACGCAAAACACAAAAAAATAGGCATTTAGGGACCCCACGGCGATTTCAAAGACCGAGGGCTGCAGCCTCTCACGATCTTGCTTTTTATAGAATGATGATGAAAAGGCGTAGTTTTTTTGCTTGAGCTACTTTGACTGTCGCGCTATCGCCCCCAAGGGCTTAGCTTTATTACCGGTTCCCGCTCTCCGCCCACTTCCCCCTCCCCCTCCCCTCCTCCCCTCCCGCTTCCACAAGTTGCTTGTCGTATTCCCCTCCCACTTGCAATGTAATGCAATGGAGCTACCGTCTTCCCCCGAACACAACGCACCCTCATTTTGGCCGTACCGGACCGGAAATATAGCTTGTATACATTCATTTTTAGCGTGCGTTATGTTCGGGGGAAGACTGTAGTGTAACTACTGTCATGTCGTTGTCCAATTGCACTTGCAATGTTGCAATGTAATGAGACGGGGCTTGTACCACTGCGCGCCGCTGATGGATGTTAAGCTCCTTCTGCCTTCTGATTACCTGTGATCACTTTCTGTTGATTGATGCAGTGGAAACTGTAGTAATAATCGCAAGGGAGGAGGAGGAGGAGGAGGAGGAGGAGGAGGTGGTTAAGTCTGATCCCTCCTGCTTGTGATTGCTGTACTGCATTCGGGAGATAGGGGAGAGGGAGGGGTATTAGAGTGGGAGGAGGGGGGAGGGAGGGGCATT